GGTAATATTAAGTAATGAAAATTATCGAAAGTAGAAGATGCAAGTGGCTGAACATCACATTTTTAGCAAGTTCAAAGAGAAGGTTCTTCTTCTTCACGATAATTTAAATACTCTCACTCACCTCTCTGAACTGATTTTCACAATTATTTATGCAGTCGATAAATTTTCCTTCTGTGTTAGTTTCACTTTGTATATAAACAAGACCGATAAATAATAATATTTTTCTTCATTTTAGCCATGTACTCCTGTTATAGAATAGGCCACCCGTTCCTTTCCCATGGGTATTGTTAGAGGCGACTAAGAGACGGCAAGGAATGGGCAGTAGCGTCTTTCTCAAAACATCTCCAAAATCTACTTGCGATTGCCAATCCGCCCGCCGAGCGTAGTAACTACTGGCAAAACCCCCAAGGAGGAGGCTAATGTTCAGCAGTAGACAGTTAATGGCTAACATGATGGTGATAGTGATGATGATGGTTTTTCTTCATTTTAAATAATTGCTACGTTTAAGTTTTACATTTTACATGACAATTGGTTAAGTCATTAAAAAGCTACGAATATAACAAACTCAGTTTGATTGTTAACTGTTGATGCCTAAACGGCTTAACCAATCCTTTCACATTTATAATATTTTTAGCTTTTACCCTTACCGCGACTTCATCCGTGTAACCGGGATATATTCACTGACGAGAATAAAAGATATATGTAACAATTGAAGTTACCCTTTATGTTTACGAAACAAAAAAAAAAACGTATGTTGCGAAGTAGAATATAGATTTTATAAGCATACATTTTGCGTTCTTAATTCAAATATTTACAATATGTCTTCAAATGAAATTGTCGTTTATCGGTGCGTTTTCATCATAATCATCATATTAGTCTTTAACTGCCCATTGCTGAATATAGAACTTGGGGGGTTTAGCCAATAGTTGCCATGCTTGTCAAGTGGATTGGCAACCGCAGTTAGACTCTAGAGATATTTTAACAGGGAAGCTACTGCCCTTCACTCGCCCTCCTTTAGTCACTTCCTACGACACTTACGGTAAAGGAAAGAGTGGCCTATTCTATGTCGGGACCACACAGCAACGGTGTGTTTTGCTAGCGCTGTATTAGCTGTTTTTATTTAAAGCGCAAAACGTACATTTTCCAATTAATATTCACTCTAAATTTTTTAATTCCCTTAAAACAAGTCTGCTTTTATGGAAATAGTAAATTAGTTTGATATAGTGAATGGCGCTAACGTAGTGCCTTTGGGTAAAAAATTAATATATCTAAAATTAAAACTTCTACAATTTACAGTAGTTTTAATTAGATTGTCTCTTTTACCATGTGACTGTGGGTAATGCAAACTCTCAAAATGTTTATTTCACGTTTATTTTAAGAGTAAATTGAACTATAATCGCAAAAGTATTTTACGTAATAGTAAATAAATTAATGTAATATAATCACGTTAAATTGAATTACTAGAACTTTATAATTTGGTAATGAAATTATTATATGTTAAGGTTTTGGATCTCGCAATAATCCTACACAGATGAGAGCACGTTATTATATATATAATTTAAGATTAAGAAAGTAAACTCCATAGATTGCAAAAATAACTATCAAATTCAAAATTGCAATCGAAAACTACAAATAAAACTTTCTCCTTGTGAAAATAATTAAAAATTCGAAAGATCTCTGTACCAAACTCATGGTTAGCTATTGATGTAGAAATGTAATAATATGCTAATTTCATTTTCTTATAGTTAACCAATGTCCAACAGTGGAACGTAAACGAATTTTTATGGTACTTTTATTTTCCCTACTAGCTTATGGCTAGTCCTTATTCATTAGCACAGTTCACGACTGTGTCGTGAACAGCAGATTGCTAACGGAATTAACTAGAGAAATTAATACATGAGTAAATTAGATATAAATGCTAATTATGAAGTGAGATCGGAGTATTTATACGTGACACTGAACTGTTTCACCATTAAAACATAGGTAGAAAAACGAGATTTTTTTTTTAACCTCTCATACTAACATGGTGTATCTAGCTGTTAATTCAAAGGTAAGTAGTAAAGCTTCAAATTTTTTATTATCATTCATTTAATTTTTGTTTCATGAAATTTCCATTCTTATATATTTTATTCTGTGATACCAGTCAATTCTTAATTTTATTTATGACCAACGAATTCGATTTCAGTATGCTGTATAAATCAATAATCAGGACAGTTGTTATACAAATATTGTCATTATAATATATATGTGCTATCTTTATCTACCGATAAGACCTTTTTAATCTCGACAACTGCGAGTTATGTTTTGTAAAAATAAAAAAGCATAGTGCTGGTCGCGCAAAACACCGGAAAGCAGTCGTCATTAAAGCGAATAGGCGCGACCGTCTGTGGCCAGCTTTTATCCTCTTTCACGGGTAATTTGCTTTTGTTTCTCCTTTTAATTTCCGCGTCAGTATTTTTGTATTGTCCTTGTTTTTCAGCGGACTTGCAAAATATTTTGTTAGATATTATCAATTGTCATATCTTTCTTTGTGAAGCAAGAAGTATCTCATGGCTGATAATCCTGTTGTAGATTATAACCAGCCAGCAGTAGAATTATAAAAATAGTATTTTAGATTTTATAATTTAGGACTTTATGTTATAAATTTTAGAGGTCTAAATATTTCCAATACTTTACATTCACAGGGCTAATCAGGACCCGAATAAAATTTGTTTTTAATGTAGTCGTTATGCTAGATTAACATACATAAAATTATAATTCAGGGGCTAATCGCGGTAAAAATTAGTTTTTATACGATTTGTATAAAAACTAATTTAATTATTAACAAAAAAATACTCTGCAAACTCTTACGACTAGGGAAACTCTTATGAGTGTAAAATTAATGTTTGATACTATATTAATATTTTGGTTGTACTATGCGTACAAGTGACCCCCCCCCCCTTCTTTTCAAATGGATATCGTACCAGGCGAGAGATGGGCAGCAGCGTCACTCTTAAAACATCTTTAAAGCTTAACTGCAGTTATCAAATCGCCTGCCAAGCATGGCAACTACTAGCCAAACTCCACTTATGGAGAAGGCTTATGTCCAGCAGTGGACAGTTAAAGGCTGATATCGTGATGATATGATAATATCTACAAGACAATATTGAAAAATTATCATTAGAAATAAAATGTTATTGTAAGTATTCATATTGGATTTTATATAGAATTAATATAACCGTCTTGTCCATACTTTCAATACTGTCGTTTAATAATCTAAATAACAAAATAAAAATACACATACCCCAGACAAACTCATATTTTAGTAATTTTAGAATAGTGGCTTCAAAATTTGTTAATTAATGACTTCTTTTTACTCTGATTAAGCTAATAAGTATTGCTTCATATAAATAATATGAATATACTCTAATTTTTAAAATATAAAATAATTTAGTCACTTTTATTTGATAGACACATTAATGACTGACTATATCAGATATTGCATTTCAGTATAACTTCGAACACAGAATGCTTCTTAAAATAATTGCAAACAAGCTGACGGCACACCTGATGGAAAATGGTAATCGTTGCCTGAAAACATGAACAGTACCATAGATATAATGAAGGATACTGTATCGCCCATGATACTATTCATGCGTTGCTATTTCTGAGGAATAATAAAGTAGTTAATAACACTTAGCATATTTTCTTAATTTTCCTTAGTATTGATCAAGCTGGTGCCTTTTTTACTTATTCTGATCACGTGTCAAGCTGATGACGCCACACCCATCTTAAAGGCTCCCTGCCGCACTAAAGCGAGACAATGCCACGCAGCCTTGCATACTCGTACAACTTTAATTTCATTTCAAAGACACTGACACTATTTGAATACAGACGGAATTAAATTCCCCTCACGTCCCACTTAATACTTCTGTTATTAAGCTCTTAGACAGACGGCCGCTTCTAAAGGCATAGAGATAAATAAATACAAAACCTAAGCTTACCTTACATGTATTAGAATTGGCAAAAGTGGTCGTACGTTTGAGTAAAAGGTTTGGGGACAAACTTATAAATGTCTTATGCCTTTTATATGCCTACTCAGCTTTTGTACAATCTTACATGAACATTTTCGTTTTGACTCTGAGATTAGTATTTTTAAAAGTCATTGGTCAAAGAAAGTAGAATATTATTAAGTAAAACGTAAGATACATTATTAATAAAATATTAGTCTGATTTTTGGTCCATTGGGGGCTGAGATTTTTTATGTTGCTAGAAAATATTCCTTTCAATTGCTTATTCACATTTGAAATAATCCATTACAGTACTAGATGTACTATTTCATTTTATAATATAGTTTTTTAAATAGTAGACTAGATTTGTAGATAGATTTACTTTTTGTTTTGTAATTTATTTAGAGATAACAACTAAGAAGAAAAAATATTCATTTAATCGACCATAAATGTCAGACCCATGACATTATAATTTTAACCATGGACAAATTGAAATAATCTTTAGAAATACCTATCCCATGAATTCTCACATTACAGAAAACCCATTAGTGATAAACGTTTAATGTTAAATTTTAATGCCTCAAAATTCTTAGAGCAATACTAAAACAAAAAAATGAAATATAAAACATGGAACATAGGTATCATATTACTCGTAGCTCACCCAAAGCATAAAATAAGATGGTTATGTAAAAAACAAAAGATTTCAAGGACAGATTAAATTGAAAATATTTTAATTCAAATGCAGATTTGTATATTTACAAGAAGATTAGGCAGATTTTGTTTCGCAAAGAAAAACAACAGTTTGAACAATCATAAACCAGTAAAGTCTCGATTCAGAATTGATAAAATAATGGCGTAAAAAAATAAAAGGTGATTTTTTACCTCCTTATTTGAGTCTCTTGAAACAAATTACATATTGCAACAAATAAATACGTTTACATTCAGCGGCTTCTATATTGAATTGATATTTTTATTCTAGTGAAACATAACTTCATACCAATAGATACTCACTGAGTCGTGAAAGCTTGAATGCATCAGCCGTATTGATGACGTCGACGTAAGCTTGCAACTCCAATCTTCGGCTACTTATGTTCTGGTTGTGCATTGTCATGGCGTATTTGAATACATTTTGGATTTCCTCGGTGTTCTGATCGAATATTGCCCCTGGAAACAAAGCCAAACTCTTTACAATGGCAACAACAATTTTAACAACGGAATATTATTGTTTTCTTTCAATCAAAACAGAACGAATACATTTATTGGCCACATTATTTAAATGAATAATAATTTAGTGTTGTCATAGACTTTTCTGATACGAATATATTAAAACGTGTTGGATATAATTATAGAAATATTTTGCTTCCACATATTCTCAAGCACTTTCTACATATTTTACATATTCTCAAGTAACGCAGTCCATTTGAGAAACAACTTTTATTAAATGCTTTATCTAATAAAATTCAATATTTTCTTCAAATTAGATAATTACTAAATAATTGATATAATTGTCTGGAACTAATTATTATTAGTTAGGGTGTATACACCCTTCGATATCACATCTTGAGCCCGAGTGTGTTGCAAACATTGTTTATTATTATTATGATACCATTAGAAACTAAATATATGCCAATATCATATTTAATGTTTATATAGGCGACGTGCTGAAGAAGGGTCAAATTAAAAGTACACGTAACAGGTGAGCTAGTATGAAAAAATTTATGAATGTGGAAGAAACGAAAGAGGTTTGTTACCCTAATGGGAGACAGGTGTGACAGATATGTATATATATATATGTATAAAGATAATCAATGGTCAAAATCCGAGTACAAGTCAATTAAATTAAACAAAGTTTTTTTTATTACACGATCTGTCTACAGTTACTTTTATTTCACCTGATGAAAAGTGAAGGCAAGACCTAAAATGGCAAGACTTAGAAAATCCAAAGCAAATAGATATTTCTCTGGAAATACAGAAATGGATAGTAGTTGGCAGTTCTTGGCAGTTTTCAGAAATGTTAATGCGAAAACAAAGGGGTTCTTCAAAAGGGAGTAAAGAGGTTTCTTCAGGATCGACAACACGCGCATAATAAATACCCCTGGTATTTCAGGCGTTCATAGGCTATGGTAACCGCGTACCATCAGGTGGACCGTATGCTTTTTTACCATCTCAGTGGTATAAAAAAAATTACAAGTTTACATATACAAATTAATATCACGCAGAGTTGTTAATTTTTGAAAAAATACCATAACAGTTTTAAATTTTTTTGATATTTTACATGTAAAATAACAGATTTTTCAATTTTTGACAAAAGATTGTAATTGGGTTATACTTAGAATTATACAGATGCAATTATATTTTGTTACATAGATAGTGCCCTCTACCTATAAATTTACTTGTAGTCCATCTGATAGTAATGAATTAACAAATATGATTAATGAAAACAGGAACGTACATTGTTCATTAGCTAAAACATAAAATCTTGTCTACATACTTGTTTGCATAAATTAATATAAGTCATATGTACCTCAAGGTAAAAAACTTCAATTTATTTAAAAAAGCCAATCATAAAATTTAAAAAGAAAGAAAGCAGAAATATCAATCTAAATTAATACTATCTGCCCAGTGAATCATTTCTGAGTTATTTTCTCTAATAAAACGACATTAAAACCACCTACGCTAGCGTACTCAAGAAAGAATTATTACTTCCAATGAAAAGCTTCCAAAACAAGTGGAGGAACACTTCATTGGATATCTTTATCGGTCATACAGAGAAAAAGCGAGCGAGCCCGTATTCTGGAAAGCATCATAGCCCTGATATACGACTGCTGACCAAAACGTTTATCTGAATCAGTGAAGCCACAGAGCACAGACCGGTGGCTCCTTTAATACCGTCCACAGCCGAATGGTCGAATTACATTCTCCAAACTACCATAGCTATATTACAATTAAATTACCTACTTAACTTTGGCCACAAATCGACTAAATCCTACTAAAAGCTATTTAAAAAGATGCCGTTGTATAGCTGCTTATCTTAATTCGAATAAATTATGTATTTTTTTGTGTATAATGACTATTTCAAATTATTGCTATATAGCACTTTTACAATTCAGAGAAATCTAATGATATTTATTACATTTATTAAAATTAATTAAGCCTTTTTTAATGGATACCAATGGAACCCTGCCTGCTTCAACGGTGGGGTATATTGATAGCAATGGGGACTAACCTCCCCATTACTAACAATCTCTTCCCCCACTGCTAGATGATAGCCATACTATCGAGCCGTTTAGGTTACACGATATGTGATAAGTTCCAGAAACTTGCAAAAATATACTGTAATTTATACCCTGAAACATCCTCTATTCTTCGATGATCTACTAAATATAAATTATGAAATATATTTTCTATATAATTTTCAAATAAAGTTGATAAAAATTTGGATTTGTTTAAATTATCTTTGACAAAATTTGCCTGATTTACATCTAAATAATCAGTTAATATTTCACGATGACCACGATTGAGTAAAAGCACGGCAGATTGGATAATGTAAACGGCCCTGAAGTCTTGCGTTTCGTGAGTTCACACTATCACTGTTTTTTTATTTCACTCCCGCCGCTCGGACATTATATTCTAAGAGCCATTCTGAAGCTCCATTTCTAGCAATATTTCTTCCATTTGCAACGTCATTTCTTTCCATATTACGCCGGAATATTACGTCTGGGTTTATATTGTTGCTGAGATCTACTGAACTTTTCAGTAAGTAACGTTGGTTGTTGTTGTATACTCGTAATATGTTAAATATAGTCAATGTGGGATAGATTTCTTTTCATTTAATCATTCACATTTCTGTAAAAAATAATTATCCAAAAATAAAATGTGCCTATTTCACGAGAATAGTCGAATGTATGGTTGACAAGTGGAATGTACTAGCAGTTACTGATTCCAATTGCAATAATAAAAAGACTGCGGTATACTCGTAGAGTAAAATGGAATTTTATTTCGAGTAACTATTGTTACAAGATGCGATGTGTTTACAAGGCAGATACTTGTTATTGTATTGCCATGTGTAAAATTACATTTGCACGAGTCAATATTTGCAGTTAATGCCAAATATGGAAACATGTTAATTTCTGACATACTGCCGCCTCAAAAAGGGTATTGGATTTTAAATCAACACAGATAGATTAATACAATCTATCGATACAATTATATATTACAATATACATATAAAATAAGAATCCAGTTATCAATAAGAAGCAAACAAATTTTAGTTATGGACTTTCCGCTTTAAGATGGTTGGTTGACGACGATGGGTCTTCGTCGTCTCCTCAGGGCGAACCTCACTACCCCGGCTTCAACTTAGGAGGCCACAACCGGTGGGTCACTGGGTACTAAATCGAACATAATTATATCGGCGTGGCATCTTTTTGCTGCATTAGTGGTGTGGATGTTGGCGTCTTTTTTTCAGTTGGGTATATATACATACACACACACACGCACGCACGCACGCACGCACGCACGCACGCACATTCACACGCACCGCGGAGACTCAGATTGGCGCTTTTATTGCCGCCGAACCATACCAAATCCCTCGTAGTAACAATTTGTCTGGCGACACCGATGGCCTTGTCGCCATCGCTTGTGTGCATTGGGTTCTGTTTCCCCTCCCTGTTTTCGCCTTTTTGTGAGTGAGTTAGAGGAAAATCGTCTTGGTCAGGGTTTACTTCTCACCCAATCGGACTCTCACCGAGTTCGAATAGTACCATAACGGATTGGGAGCTGCTATCGGGCTACACTCAACTTGTCCAGTCATGGTACTGACTCAACGCCAAGGCTGCGGCGTGGTGCTCCCACTTTACGGATGCTCGCGGCGGGGTTTTCGAAGACTAGGCGATCGCGACTATCCTCTCGATTTTTAACAAGGAGTCGATCGCAACCTGTGTGCGGATGGCAGGGCGAATCCATGTGGACATTTCGCTTGCTAACCCGGCTATCGCGCAAGGTGCAGGGCTGGGATGTGAAGGCTGAGGTGGAGACACTATCCATTCATTTCATCCATACTCGTATATCAATACATTCGGATGGACGTGCTTCCCTAGCCAACGCCCTTGGACCCGCGCCGAGAGAGTCATGTCTCACTATTCCCTAAATCACTATTTCATAAAAAGCAACTAACTTCCAGAGGTAGACTTCATGACACCCTGATAAAAATAAAAAAATACCTATCTAAAAGACTTTAGTCACTAAAGTTTTTTATATACGTACATCACATGAAATAACCGCTATTAAGACTTATTTACTTAGTTTATTTTATAATATCATTACATCGCTTTAAATTTTAAACTATAATTAAATACTTATCGCTTTTTAATCTCTGAAATTAATTATTTATCCAACTTAATTTATTAAGAAATTTAACTATGTCTAAATCAGATGCAATTTAATATAAAACAGTTTAAAATATATTTTGCCACTGCTTTTCTGCTTTATATTTTAAAACTCAAAATGTTATAAGCTTAGCCGAAATAATTTTAACCCAACGAGTTTATTTTCAACAGCGGCAATATTTTTTCGTTATACCTTTTTATGGAGTAGGATTTGTTTGTGCTGCAAAGTGTCTTACCTGGCTGGGAGACTGTAACTTCATTAAAAGGAGATTAAAACAAACTTTTTCATCGCTACAAAAGTGTCCTAAGCCAGGCGAGCGACGGGACGTTACAACGTTGAGAGTTTAGAAATGACAATAGCTAAATATAACGTTCATATTGTGATTAAATATATTTTATTTATATTTTTATTGCAAAAATAAAGAAAACACTAATTATTCCATAAATATAATATGACAGAAAGCGATACAGTCGCTCCGTGGAACGGCGGGATTCGGGAATAGGCCTGGCAAAATGTGCCCACATTTCAGAGGTCAAGTATATATTATATTGATCACAACGGTAATTTTCAAAGGTGTCTACCTACTACGTTTGATTATAGTGAGCGTTTTTTATCAAATCTATATATAGAAATATATACTTAGTATATAAAGGCTACCATAAGATGAAACAACTCAGATGTAATATAAAAGTAATATTGTGAAATAATACAATTGTTTTTACAACGAAAATAAACTTGAATTCTATCGAATCAATATATATTCTTAGTAACATAAA